ATCTATTTTGTAAACTTTAAAAATTTTTGATATATCAAACAAACGCTCGAAGCGAAATCGGAGGGGAAAAAAAAAGGAAATGCAACCAACCAACTCGACGAGTAATTTGGAAATATATCGTAGCAAAGGTTTTTTCGTGGATAAGTTTGTTGCCCGGCTTCCTTTATATCCCGAGAAACTTGATTCTTGTCTTTAGGATTGGTTTGTATTCCGTTCTTTGCATCGCATCTGAATTTAGAAAAGAAGGGGAGAGAGGGGAGGGAGGAAGGGGAGGGTACGCTCTTCCCGCTTTGTTTTCGCTTCCTCCTCCCATTTTTGTTTCTTCTTTGTCAAGTGTGGACGCGGGCACGCGCACACTTGTATATAAATACACACGTGTGCATATATACATATATAAATGTACGTGTAATATCATAAAAACGGGAGAAGAAAGCTCTTTTGTTGTGCCGTAAAGGTAGGGAAACTTTATAAAAATAAAAATCTCGCGATGCGCATGCAAAACGTGTTCCGAATGTAAACGCCACTTTAACACTCGAAAACTTTTTTCCTCCGCTTGTTTTCTTTCCATTGCGATTCTTTCGTGCAATCGTGTTTACGATCGTGTACGTATTTCGAATAATTATCGAAATTTTTACATCTAAAATCTCTCTGTTGCCGTCGATCCTTCACATTTTTCCACGCGCCCAATCTGTCTCTTGATCCCGTATATATTTTAAGGTAAACGAGATCCGTCTTCCGAATGATTTAATAATGGGAGAATGTACACAAAAATTCGATCCCTTCCCCTATCGATATCTGCAGGGCAGGCCAGATCTCTCGCAAATCCCCTTATAAATCCTGTATAATCTTTTTTTACACTAACGCTTGCTTCCGCTGTTTCGGATGTAAACTGTCGATTATTCATGGAATTGACCACGATAAATTGACCGAAGGGCTGCTCGCGACTCGATTGGATCTCTTTTTTTCTTTTTTTTTTTTAAACCGATTCATCCTCGTTCGACGAACGAAGGAGGAAAAGAGGGAGGGAAGAAAAGCGTTGAAAAGTATATCGGCGATCTTACGTACATCTTTGAGTACATACACGCGCGTGCATATGAAAATATTAAATGCACTCGTGACGCGAAACGGTGTGTTTGCATTGCAAACTAAAACGGAACTCCGTCAGCCTTGCTAACTCGGTATCGCGTTCCTCGAGTCCTAGCATTAACGCCGCGATCGATCTTACGACGAATCGTTAGAAGATTTCCCCTCCCCGTGGAGGGAACCTGCAAAATAACGTTTAACCTAGATTTTGTAATTTCCAACTGTTGATGAAGATTTAATAAATTCAACGTGGCGCAATTCGTGTACGAATCGTTGTTAAAATATTCAAACTTGAAATCGGGGATATACAATAGTCGGTTACATTCAACCGTTCAATGTTTAATCGCTTGTGTGAATAAACGAGGGAATTCGCATCTATATTGCAAACGATGCTAATAATTTATCCAGTTAATAATTGTCCACTCTAATGCAACGTTACTCGCCTAATATCTAAATTGCTTCCTCCGAACCGAGCGAGGCGACTATAAAACGGGCAATTAATTTTTTTATCTCTTCAAATTCTACATTTATAAAAACTAGATACACACGTGTATATCTTTCTCTTTAAACTATTTCTCGTCGAGTGTGTATGTTTTACGATGCAGAGAAGGGATATCGCGAGTTTTCGTGCGCGCTTTAAAGCAAGTCGTGTTTAAATTTTCTTGTGTACGATCAAGAAGATAGGAGAGGGGATCGCATTAATATTTCGGTGATTTTATTTTTAATTTGTCCCACCATTGCCGCGCGAAAATTAACGAGGGACGAGGGGTAAAAAGTGCGGGATTGTGTGTAGGAAAACGCGTAAAAAAAATTTGAAAAGGGAAGAAAGTTGTGCGGTGTTAAGTTAGTTGCGGCGGAGAAAAAGTTGAACAAGTTTTAGTTTTACCTTTTAACGTTGACGCGTTACTCGTCGGCGGCTTTGTCGTGTAATTTCCCTCGTCATCCATGAACACGTAGCTAGCGTTGAATCCTGTCCCATCGTATCTATCGTTGCTCTTGAACGTCACGCGAAAGAACTTTCTGTCGCTGTTCACGTCGAATTCCTTTTGTTGGCCGCAATGCCTCGAGTACTTCCGGTCCCTCGACATGAAATTCGAAAATTCGACGAAATCGCTCGCGGACACTGGCTCGCACCTGTAACACGTTAATATTATTTGTCAAGTTAATCGGTCGATATTCGATCTTTCGTTTCGCTGAAAATTTTTACTTTACATCCTCCTTAAAAATTTCCTGTTCACTGTTTCTATTTCGAAACCGCTGATGTGCAAAATCCAGCATATATATATATATATAAATTCTTAAAATATTCTATACATGTCGATATAATTTCGTGGCATGGGATAGTAATATAATATAATGGGAGGCTATTGCATTCGATATTGTATATCGAAGAAACGATGAGGCATATCGAATACGTACTTATGCGTATAAGTATATGTAAGTACGTGAAAACCACAGGAAAAAGACTGAGTCTATTTTTATTGATTTATTTTTTATTTATACACGCGATTTGAAAAATCACGTACAGAGAATATAGAAATGTTGTCTTGTTATCTTGAAAATTTCTAAAAAAAATTATTTATCGTAATTTTAAAAATTAATATTGGACTTGTAAAAATTAGAGACATTTCTATTCCATGCGTAGTTTGACTTGTCATTACGCACGATATTAATTAATGTTTCTTTAATTACAAAAGTTATCCGTTTTATTTGCTCATAATTTTTGTAGAAAAGATCAAATACACGTATTCGAGCGTACCTCATCGTTTCAAGCACTACTGCATTCGTGTTGATACGCCACGTGAAAAAAAAAAAAATAATTCGCATATAACGTTAATAACGACAAGTACGATTCAAATATTTGAGAAGAGGTTTATTTTCTCATTCCTAAAGCCTGGTGGATAAAGCGCGTACGTATTTAGAAACCTCATAAAAGTTTATGACATCACCTATATTTCAACGAGGATGACAAGTCTGCTATATAACCTGGTGGCGCTTTTATGTTATATGTATATAAAATACAATTGCCGATGTATTATTCAAGAGTATTCTTAAGTTAGTCGCTCGCCCGTTAAATTTATATTTTTGGCCGGGCCGTACGTTACGCAATCGCAGGAAAAAAAAATTGATGTATACACGTGAGCGTGAAAGGGCGCGAGACGTGGTTGAAATATTCACCTTTCGCGGGGAATATCGAAAGGAGAATCGAATGATTTTTCTCGGTGTACCGTAGTACACCTCTCATAAATTGGTTCCGTGCGGACCGGCAATTCCATATAAGTAATTCAATCTTGGCTCTTTCCGCGCATAATTTCAACCTACATGTGAGAGCGCGTGTCTGCCGCCGCATTTTCATACAGCTATTTACAATCGGAATATACATATCGGATATTCTGTTTTCGGATTTTCCATTCCGTGCTCCATAAATATATTTCTCCCCGCTTTTACGGGGGACGATGAATCTCCTCCGATTACGTAACCTGTGATTAAAGTTGCGAAGGAGCAGCGGCAGTCGGAAATAACGCTTCACGTTTGGAGTCACTTGGATTGTGCCAAGTCGGAGTTTTTTGTGTTCGTTTCGACCGTTCCGCGAAAAAAACATAATCTTAATGGTCGCGTGGAAGCGAGGCAGGCTGTGGAGAGCAGAGCGAGATGACGTCACCACGTTGAGCCAATTGCGGGCAAATATGAGAAATATTACGCGCGGGAAAGCGGAGAAAAATATGAGCGGGTGTCGGGTGTTCTGTAATTAAAGGCGAAAGGAAGCGGCGATCACGAAGGATAAATGGGATTGATAAGGACGATTTACGCGAACGTTTCGCCCGTGGAAGAATGCATTCACTCCCTTGTAAATAATATATCGCGCCCGTAAGAAATATTGATACGTGAATGATGAGGCTATTATCGCGGAACCGGAGATATACATCACGCGACTCGTTCCTTCCACCGATGACATAAGTGGCAATTCCCGTGATAGATCATCATTCGGTTCTCACGTTTCCGAACATATATTTCGCTCTGTTTACTCGTACACGGATTTACGACTGGGAATGTATCTTTCCTTCGTGGAGGGAGATGGGAGAGGGACTATAACCGACCGAACGATCGCGTTGCACTTTCTTTTTTTTAAATCGAAAACTCTTCGCTCGTATCGCAATTTATTTACCATCGGAACATTTGAAAAGATCGTGCGTGAAAATATTTGTTATTTTTGTAGCCTCGAACGTTTTTGGAAATACTTATTAAATCTCAACGTTCTCAAGGAATCAAAATGTTCATTCTCGAACTCGGGAAGGACTTCAATTGGATCAAACTTAATTCGATGTGGGTCAAAGCGAGCGCCAAGCGTCGTCTTATCGACCGATTCGATACTTTCAATTTTCGACCGTTTATCCAACGTTTATCGTAAATATTATCGTCGTATTATTAAATTTATTTTACTTCCTGCCGTATACGGAGCATGTTTTTCAAAGGAAATGGAAAGAGTGTAAAAGATACGCGAGTGTTTCTTCCAGATGATCTCGACTATCGGTTGACCTCCAATTATAAAAATTGAGGGCATATCTCGCGGGGAGAGGAGGAATCGATGAGACCTACTTTGCGCTTCCATTCCGTGTTATTGTTGAAAAGTTTAGAGGCAGAAATCGGCAAAACACGACTAATTAGCTGGCTTCGACTAATGAACGAATCTCCACCGTGTTACAACACGGTTATTGATGGCGATCTAATAAGACCCAATTAGGTCTGCTGCGTAACCACCTACTTCTTTTTCCCTTTCCCTTCCCCTCGCGGCAAAGACCATCGAGAGCAGCGCATGCATCCGTCCTAATATCGCATGATCGATTGACCACGTCGCGTTTCACCGGATCCCACCCATCGCGATCATCCCTTGTTGATCAACCGTGTTCGCTAATTGGTCAGCGTTGACGCAAATACTCGACGTTCCGACCAGGCTTTTCGACTATCGGTTACGGAATTCTCTTCGGTTGTTGAGTCTTCGTCCCCAATAAGCAGCTTGAAACTTTGTTTCGCGCTAGTTTGATTTAGTAGTACGTCGAACTGTATCGAGAAACCCAATCGAACTAGCATCGATTTGCTTCCAATAGACTTCTAGTTAGTTAAGGATATTCACTTTGTCTCGTACAGTCGAGTGTGACGAGAAGGGGAAGGAAAGGATCGATACACGTGGAATTCCAATCACGGTCAGAGAGTAGCCAGAGTTTACCCCCTTCGTTCCGTGTTCACGTTTTCTAATTCACTTATTCACGATTCGCTTGAGACGACTCGATATTACACGATGTATTATATACATATATATATTTCCTTCAACAAAGATAAAACGTCATCCGTTATCTCTTTTTTTCTTTTCTTTCAACCTCCTTTGACGCTTGCAATTTAATTTTGAATACAAAATGTATATTTTAAAGTTTGGAATTCTACTTCTACTATCGCGGAAATAGTATTATCTAAATGGTTACAAGCTCCTTTCCTCTCCAGAGACATTATTATGGATAATGGTAGAATCTTTTCTTCGTATACGTGCGTCTGTACGTGTGTCAAGAAGGTAAGGGAGGATCTTTTATACGAATACAGAATACCGCCACTTAACCCTAGAAAGATAACTCTCTACGCGATTTTTGAATACCCTTCGCGTTTAATGCGAACTCGCGAACGATTCTTTTCCACTCCTAAACGGACCATTTACGGATCGAATATAAAATGCAAAAGCGAAGAAGAAGAAGAAGAAGAAGAGGGGAGGAAAAAAATAAGGGAAATATTTGTACAAGTAACATTTCACACACTTACGGCATCACACCCTCCACGTCGAAGAAATGGAAATGAAGATGGATTCGTTCGTTCGGCTGTCCGTTGAAGAAATAATGACATTCGGTGTCGCGTGGATACAAGCCCGGGTAATTGGGCGACGTGAACGTGCCGTTTCGTGTCTCGTTGCTGTTGTATACAAAGGCACAGGGATATTGCGCCTCTTGTCGGCCTGTCGTAATACCAAAGTCTGAAACACACGTTGAAACAATGCCCCGTTAATGCGTGTTCCTTAAATCCGTTCACAGCCTGGTGGATAAAGCCTGCTCGGTTAAGGTTGGCGCGGAGATGGCGGAGGAAGGCGTCTCAACCCAGGGTAAATATGACGTTCCTCGAGACCGTTAATTAAATCGCCACCTGTTTAATCGCGGAAAGAAGGAACTTTGAATCGAACCAACCTTTGCTCGACCTTCCTCCCTCCCTTCTCTTCACGAGTAATGAGAAGTGGCTCGAACAAACGCTTTCGACAAGTGAAGAAGCGATCGTTCGATCGACGATGATCATTTGAAAATGAATTCAGGAGAAAATGATCGCGTATTTTAACTCGATTAACTTTAATTAAACATCTTAATTATGGAAAAACACACGTTATTCGATAGATGGAAAAATAACTATTCCTGAATTAAAAATTTTCTACTTTCTTATCACAGGGGATAATAATAAACTGGGATGGATTTTCGATATTTTTTAACCGATTTTTGATACTTTGTTTCGAGAAAATTCTGTTAATTCTCGAAACAGAAACGACAACGAGGAGATATAGATTATAAAAGCGGGAAAAAATTTTGTTATAGCGCGACGAGAACGAAAAAAAAAAAAAAAAAGGAAGAAAAACAGTTTTTCATTCGTGAAAACGACTCGTAATTCGATTCGGTTCTCCAGTCGAATTGCTGGCCCCGTGCTGCCAATACCGTTTCATACTCTTATTAGCCTTTATTTACAGATTATTTGATCACTTGGTAATGTTTGCGATTGTCAGTGCTATCCATATGGCAAGCTTAATAAATATTGACGTTCGCTAATGAACAGCCACGCGTCGAAATATAAAGCATCACTGTCATAATCGTTATATTGTAACGCGATGGGCATTAATAAACAACAAGGGCGTAATTGCTTACGTATTATTAACTAGATGTTCGAACGAGAGGGCAACTGCTTCAATTTGTCAATGAATATGGATGACAGTGTGTGCGTGTCACGCAATCCTGACTAATACGTCAATACTTTATGTATAAACCATAATGGATAATTCAGTGTATCATTTCCGGCATTTTAATTGTTGATCATCGTCCAGTTATACTTTGACATCAATCTGATATCGTATTAAAAACTTGTATTGATACATCGAGACGTTTACGATATAATGTAATTTCGTTTCAAAGGGATAACGATGTTATCGGGCAAAGATTAGCTTTGAAGAATTATATTTTTCTTTCTTTTTAAGAAACGGGTAAATTGTGTTCGATCAGAAAGCAAAAGAAAAAAGAAAAAATTCTTTTCGACAACGTTGCTTGATTATTCGTTCATTTGTAAGGCAAATACGATATAATGACGTTAATTTTTGTGAATTACCCGCCGTAATGTTACATCATTTCATTACAATACTCGTTCATTTTCATTAGAGCGTTGGTGGGCAATTAACGTCTGGTGTTGTTGCTACAAGATGAAAAGTTTGCGTATGCTTCTGTCCACCAGAGATTTATGACGGTTTTACAAAAAAAAAAAAAAAAAAAAATCGTAGAGAATAAAATATTCTAAACCGAGAGAAGCTGGTTAATATCAATTATTATTCTCTTTCTACAAAATTTCTTTTATCTCCAGTTCGACTCACTCTTGATATATCTCTACCTGATTTACTTACCTCTCCTTTTCCGAGGAAATTCTTTGGGTAAAAAAAAAAAAAAAGAAATTCATAAATCTCGCAAGATCCATAAAACTTCAAGTTTATTCAGCGCGTTCTCGTTCTTTATATTTCTTTTTTACGAGAATACTAAAATTTTCTAGATGGAAGACTGGAAATACTGTCCTGAAACCATCCTTCCCCCTGCTTCTCGTCGAACGAGTTTATCGTCAATCGTCGCCATTACACCGTTCGATTATTTGATCTTGCTTACACTCCTTTACACGCGATTTATAATTTAAAGAAAGCAATCGTTTTACGAGGATTTCACGCCCAACGAAAATCATTCCGTCGAAATGATAAAAGTTTGGCGACTGGGTGTAGTTTAGCGACGCCACCGTTACTGAATCACAACTTTTCAATCTCTCTCTCTCTCTCTCTCTCTCCGACCAAAAATTAAAGCTCCACGGGCGAAATGGGTTAATTATAAGATTGGGGGGAGGAGGTCGTCAGGCCTCGTTTCAAATCGTTCGGGGTGCACGGCCAGCAAAGTTGCGCGGGCCAAACTTCTGTGTCGAGTTCCCCGAAGTGCACTCTCTCTCTCTCCCCCCAACGCTGTTACGTACGCCGGCCAAGTTTCCTCGCGATTGTAAACATCAAGTAATAAGCTTTCGCGGACTTTTGCGCTTAGTTAGCCGCTTATTTATTGTATATATATATATATATATGTATATGTATATATACATAAGAATGGCGGTCAGAGCCGCTGTGGTGGTTGAACGCACGTGAGAAGGAGTTTTTCCATAATCAAATGTAGCGTGAGGATTGGATCGAGGAAGAGAGAAAATATTTTGTAGTAATATGTAGCAACAACATCAGATGTTAATTGGCCATTCTAATGAAAATGAACGACTATTGTGATATTACGGATAATTCAGAAAAATTTTCATTAACGTGATTATGAATCACGTTATATGTAGGGCTTGCAAATAATCAAGTAATGCCAAAATAATTAATAGGATGTGCTCGTCTATTGGTTCGAGAATCATGGAATCGAAGGGAGGAGGAAGGATGCGTGACAAAAAGCTTAAAAAAGGTTTAAAAGCTTGCGACTAAAAGCCGACTGTTCGACCTCTTTCCTACGAAAAAAAAAAGTGGAGGATCAACTTTTCTCGTTACACGAGGTTGATCGTTAACGACACCGATAATAAATGAGAAGAGAATATCGAAAGCGACGTTCAAGATTTTGCGTTAAAGTTTTTTTTTTCATCTGTAATTGTAAATCGAAGCATTTCCAAGCTTTCTTTCCTTTCCTTTTCTTTTTCAACGTATCCCCCCGCATCCCGAACAACAGAGAAGGCGGAGAAAGTTTTTTTCTCTTTTTTTTTTTTTTAGAGGAGATGGGAAGAGAAACTGGAGTTTGAAAGCGCTATTTTTTTTTTTCTTCTTTTTGCTAAATCTAACACTTTTTGCCCCGGCGTTAATTTTACAGAGATGGTGTGTGTCGTTTACTCGACTGGCTGTTTGCACTGCACGAGAAGGGGAAGAAAGTGACTGCATGATAAAGTGCGCTTTCGACGAAGCAGCTTTGCCCCTAGAGTAAACTGCTACTTGGAATTTTTATTCGTCTCGAGATATTCCCTTGTTAATTTGATTCTTCGTCCTGCTGTGGATGTTTTTTTTTTTAAAAAAAAAAAAAAAAAAAAAGAAAACAGAGAGAAGCATTCCCCATTTTCGCAGAGGGAACGCAACGATGATTTTCATAAATCTCGCGGAATGCAAAATGGAACACGGGGACAAAGTTACTTACTCGGTCTCGGGTGAATCGGTGTCACGTGTCACAAGTGGATAAGCAACACGACTTGTTTCCAGGGGAAATTTTATATTTATCCCTCCCCTTCCTGCATCAATCTTACGACCAGAAGCTCGTCAAAAAAAAATTTGATACAGTCGAGACTATTTTTCTTTGTGGAACAGGAAAGCGTGGAAGGAAGAATTTCGATTTCCTCGAGATCCCTAATTTCTTTAAGATCGATTTCACCTCCTCTCGGGAGGGATATTAAGAAAACGGTTTATACGGAAGCGGTGTGTGTGTGTGTGTGTGTGTAACGTGTGTTATATTATGCAACGGTGATGGTTGTTGCGCACGGAAAGCACAAGTTTCGTTTAATTACTGAAATTAGTGACCAGACTATTACTTAGATACGGTTAGCGATTAAATTAATGACCATTTGGAAATTCGGTTTGCAGTTAGCTTTAGCGGTTAAGGAACTCGTATAATTATGCTCTATCGGTTAAATAATCGTAACAATTATTACGGTATTGAATAAAACGAGTAACGAGTAGAGAAAACTTATATATGTCGTTTTTACGGGAGAAATATATTTTTATTATTATCATTTTCTTTTTTAACGTGAAAATTTTCACAGGACGTGCAATTTTATAGCGTTATTTTTCTTTCTTCTTTTTTTCTTTTCACGTAATTTTTACGAGTTTAGCTCTTCTATAAACGGGATATTTTATTCCGTTGATATTTATTTTATAGCTTATCGGTCGTAGTTTTATCGGAAAATCTTTAAATTTTGCTAAATATCCGTAGAGAGGCGGGAGAAGAGTGTAGTTTCAGCTATAAAAATTTAACTTGACGTTATTCTCTTGGAAAGTACGCGTTACGAGTTGGATAAACTTTATCAAAATATTTCGGAATAGATTTTACTTGACGATTAATTATTCGTATTTTTTCAGAAGGGGCCGAACGGGGTGTTCTTCCATACGAAAACTTTCGTATGTAATCGATAAAAAGAAAAAAAAATTTAAATACACCCTACAAAATTCACCCTTAACAATTCACCCGATCCTCGCCAATTGTACGTTTTGAATAATTTATTTTCAGTGATCAAACTGCTCGGATTGTTCGAATGGACGCGAACCAACCACTTCGACTACAAACGGTCTAAAAGGTTGTATATACGGCAAGACGTGTTACAACCAAGTTGCTCTTCGCAACTGTGTTTATTTATTCAAACGCGATCAAAGTTACATTAATTGAAATAGAAATATTAATTAACAACGAACCGTAACGATCAATTCGTTCGCGATAGAGATCGAAGGGAATCGAATTTTTTAATCCTTCTTCTTCTTCTTCAAAAATATATCGATCGAGATAAAAATTCTATCTCGTTCTTGCGAGAATTTCATAACGATGATGATAATGATAATAATAATAATAATAATGATCTCGTTTCGTTAGAAAGACATCTTCGCTTGTACGATGGTTCGCTTCGTAATTATTTACGTTCAACATTCGCAACAACAGGGATTCCCCGCTGCAATTAACACACGCGAGTGTG